GGGGGGGGGGGGGGGGGGGCGGCTATTGTGTTTAAAGTGCTTTACCTGATGCCTCCTGTTTACCAATAAAGGGCCCTGTTAAAAGGACAGTAACGGGTATAAAATGCTGGTAAAAACAAAAGCCCCCCCCCCTCCATTGTTTTGGCCCAAAATGTCTGTCAGGCATCCAATAAACTAGGCAAAGCAGGGAGGTGAAGCTGTGTGAACAAAGGGCTGAATGTAAATCGCGGGCGGCGCCCCCCGGTGACCTGTTTGGGAGGGTCGTTAAAAAGAGCACAGCACATCCATCCGTGTGAACGAGCCGTTAGAAGCGGGGCACGATGCCCGCAGACCTTGCTGGATCTAAGCCGCCATTGTCTAAACATCTGGGCTGCTTGAGCTCGCTGTTGTATGTTGACAAATGGTGTATAATTACTGGAGGCTTTGAGGCTAGCGCTAGGTTTAGCATGTTGCTTTGTGTGAAAGCTCGATGGCGCCCCCCCCCCCCCATCCAATACATGTTAATATGGGGTGCAGTTAAAGTGGAGGTGCGAATCTCGCAGTGATGTGTCTGGGTTCATATCCCTAAGAAGAGGGTTACTGTCAGTATCTATCCATACAAATGGTCCAGCTGAATAAAAGATAAGCACCTTAAATAAGCAGTGTAGGTGATTTTATCACAGGCCCTGACTGGATGCCGGTCGGGGGCCAGTCGCTCTGCCTGGGGTGAGGCACACGCCAGCCGCATGAGTGAGCGAGCGAGTGGTCACGCCCCAGCTGAATGTGTTGCACAGAGGGAGAGGAATGCCATCTTGTGGGTTTGTTGTGCAAATTCTGTATCCATCTGGAGCTCTGGAAGCAGTTGGGGTTTGAGAGCCTTGCTCAAGTACGCAGTGGTGAAACGATTACTCTACAGCAGGGGTGGCCAATCTTAAACGCAAAGGGCCGGTGTGTATGCAGGTTTTTGGGATAACCTGTAGGTCAGCTGTTCAAACCCAGGTGTTAGGACTCTTCAGCCAATCAGTCCGCTAATTAGTAATCTAATTAGGCAGTTGCAGCGAAAACCCACATACACACCGGCCCTTTGCAGATAAGTTTGGCCACCCCTGTTCTACAGGCTGTGGGATTTGAACCCACAACCTTCCAGACACGGATCTCTAACGTGCTAAGCTGCACACCATAGTGGCTGAACTGGTGCTGGTTAATGTAGTAAATTATGTTCAAACAAAACTCTGACAATGGCAAGCAGCTTTAGACAGACATGGAGTCAAACCTACACCATTCTGGATGCAGATAACTAACCTGCTGAGCTGCACACCACACCAGCTTTAAGAATTGATCCACAACTGTTAGTCTGGTATTCAGAGCTTTGCTATTTCCTCACAATTTCAATTCATTTCAGTTTATTTTTATATAGCGCCTTTCACAACAGAGTTGCCCTAAAGCACTTGACAAGAGTGTGTGGCGATGCACTGGTGCATGTTATATGCAAAGTGGTGCATGAAACAGGGAAGCGGGAAAGAAAGAATTCAGGAAAATGATATAGACAAATGAAGTGCATGGAAAATGAACCTCTCTGGGTCCTTTCGCCTTGAAGACACCAGGGGGGTGACACTGAGGCCCATGGGGAAATTCTGCGACCTCCTACATCCAGGCTGGAGGGTGTGAGAACCTGTATTCTGTCTGGCGTGTAGTTCTGTGCCTACTCATGCATGTTAGAACCGGTACTGAGTGGGAACAAATTACCCAAAATGGACAAGCAGATTCGAGTCCCGCCAGCCAAGGTCCTCTGCAACTGAGACAGCTGGTTCACAGTCACGCCAGGTTGTCGGGCGCCGTGCCATGAAAAACACGCCATCGAGGCCCAATTTCCGAGGGAGTTCGTCTCATGGCTTTGCTGGAGTGTTTTTCCCACCGGAGCTGAACTGCCGAAGCACTTGTGGGGACGCGGCTTTGTATCACCTGGAAGAAGGCTACAAGCTGTGGCTGGCCCTGGCTGCCGTGGCTCTTCCTGGATCTTCTGCTTCATTACTTATGCATTTCACCCCCCACCTGCAGGTTAAGGTCCAGGCTGTCCATTCGCCGGTCTTGTTTCACCCGTGCCCACCTATTATCAGGCTCCTGATCTTCCTGGCATCAGGCTTCCTTTTCTTAACTGCCACGCCACCTCCTGGTCACTTTGCACATTTTTTTTTGTGTGATTTAACCTAGTTAATGGAAGTGTAATCCTACGTGCATTGACATGTACTTGCATGTAAGTCTAATATAGCTTTAAAGGGGCAGGTTTGTCAGTAGAGACATATGAAACGGGTTGAATTTACAAAGGACAAGGTTTCCTGCTTGAAGAACACAGCATTCCCGAGATATCAGGTTGTTGATGTCGAGATCCTGATGCCATGTCAACGCATGTCCTCTAGCTCCTAGTCTTTACTTGCGCGATTATCTCTGCGCCGGTGGGGAATCAGGTTCGTTCCCCCTGCTTTTAATTGCCTTGTCTCTCCCCTGGGCACCTTAATCCTCAGTTCAAAGGGCGTTGAGAAAGAGTGAAGGAGACAAACTTCCGCAGAACTTAATGGAGACTCCCTGAAGGTTCCGGAAGGTTCCGGAAGGCCCCGCGTTTGTCTCCTGGGGACCCCGAGAGCTATTTCTGCGGTGATCAGAGGCAGGGGTGGTGTTAATGCAAAACAGCTCACATCAAAGTGGTATGACAGAGCCAAGCTGGGGGTGCCAATCGTGAGCTGTGTTCTACGCCTCTCATAAATGAGTGGGGAGAGGGAGGGGGGAGGGAATGGATGAAGGTGTGAGGAGAATGGAGAGATAAAATAAAGATTTGAACCAACGACCCTCTGATTACAAGCACAGCATTCAAACCTGCTGAGCCCCGAGGACTTAAGAACATCCTAATATTAATACTGGCTTGAAAAAGCCCCCGGTCACAGGGACCCAGTTGCTCCCTAACCTCGAGAAATGGGCGTCGGTGAACTCCACCACCACTTGAAACTTCACCGCTTGAAAATAAGGGAAAGTAGGTCAATCAGCATGAACGCGGCGCCGAGGGAAGACGAGCGAGAGAGTGAGAGTGCGGTGATGCCGCGGATTCAAGTCGCTTACAGGAAGTGACATTTTCTACTCCGTGACAGCTGAGTTTGACTGACTGCCTCATAGCTATCGGCAGGGAGTCGTTTGAAGATTCACACGGTGGGGGTGGGGGGGGCGGGGGAGGGGTTGTCGGCTCTCCTCGCTCGCTGTGGGCTGGGGGGTACAGACAGTCTCTAGAGGAACTGCTTTGTTCATGATTTATTTATGATTTGGAATATTTATCGTTTCGGGCGCGGAGCCGGACTCTGAGCTCCGTCGGCCCAGAGGTTTGCGGCGAATACAGATGGGAGTGACCTTTAGCTCGGGAAAGGTGAGCATTTATTGAGTGCTCACACGGTACTTAAGTGCCGCTGCCAGGACTGTGAGGCTGGCGATGGTGCCGGGAGGCGGGGAGAGGATCTGAACCGCTTGCTGGAGCGTGGGATGGGATCAAACCCTGGTCTGGTCTCTCTCTTGTGCCCTCTGGTGGACACTGGGTGACTCCCCTTCTCTTTATTTCTGTGTTTATTTATACGACCTCCCCACCCCACCCCACCCCAAAGTTTTCTGGATTCTGCAATGTTTTTTCACAGGGCTGTGATTCTTGACCCTCCCCTCCTTTGTGGGAGCCCCCCCCCCCGTCCTTGTCTGTATCAGGTTGTTAACCCTGGGTCGCCACTGGGCCCCCTGGGTAATTTCGAGGCGTGGAGTGGCGGCAGGTGGAGGGGTAGAGAAAGGATCTGTGTTAGTTATGTGATCAGACCTCACAGATGGTGGTCTCGGACTGATCTTTGCAGGCAGGGTCGTGCGTAACAATGTCACTTCTCTTGTTTTGCAGGTCACAAGGAGATTTGACAAGGATTACGGTGTGACACGGGCCTATCCTGCACCGAAGAGAACCCAGAGGATTCCCACATCTCCTGCACAAATAACACTCCCTACTAAGAAGTCAGTTGGAGTCCCGGTCTACAGCAGCTGTTTCGAAAGGGAGACCAGGAGCTAAGCCCTGCCCACACAGGTGCTTAACCCAGCCCACTCAGGCAATAGGCCACGCCCACCCTATTGCTAAGTCCCACCCACAAAATCACTGGCTATGGAGACTCTATCCCAGGACTCCCTTTTGGAGTGTCAGATATGCTTCAACTACTATAGCCCACGGCGCCGGCCCAAACTGCTGGACTGCCGGCACACATGCTGCTCGGTGTGCCTGACCCAGATGAGGACCAGTCAGAAGGAGATCCGCTGTCCCTGGTGCCGGGGCGTGACCCGGTTGCCCGCAGGCTTCTCTGTCTCCCAGCTGCCAGACGACCCAGACGTGGTGGCGGTCATCGCCATCCCGCACGCCTCTCAGCACACGCCCGTTTTCATTCGTCTGCCTAGCAATGGTTGCTATATGCTGCCACTGCCCATCGCCAAGGAGAGAGCACTGTTGCCGGGCGACCTGGGCTGCCGCCTGCTCCCCAGTGGGCAGCAGAAGGGCGTGGCTGTGGTGGCCGTCCCTGAGGACACGCCCTCTCTGGGAGCGGGCCCCGAGGCTGGGGTAGAGAGGCGCGGTGGTGCCGTGCGGAAGGGCTCCACCTGGTCAGGGGTGTGCACTGTGGTCCTCGTGGCCTGTGTGCTTCTCTTCCTCCTGGGCATCGTGCTGCACAACATGTCCTGCATCTCCAAGCGCTTCACTGTCATCTCCTGTGGCTGAAGGCCTCTTGACCCCACCCCATTCACGCTTGGCCCCGCCCACTTCACACCTGACTCCAGACGCCAGATGGGCTTGGGGGGTGGGGGGGGAGGGGTGGATGGTGGAGGGGTATGTGAGGAAGGAGACTGAAGCCGTTTCTGGCAGCGAGCCTCAGGACTGCTGGGATAGATGCAGTTACAACCAGAGTCCACCACCGAGTTCCCTCTGCAAAAAAATAAAAAAAATAAAAAATGATCCCAGATAGGGAGCAGGGGTTCCTCGCAGTCATGCCGCCCCCTACTGTATTGGGGGGGTCATACGCCTGTGTCCTGTAAGCTGTAGAAAAAGCAGTAATCGTATTTTTTAGTTAGGCGTCTCTCGTTTCGAGCGGGAGGCGCAGTGTGGAGCAAAGCTTCTCTTTGTACAAAAGAAAAAAAAAAACCCGGTATTTCCATTCGCTGTCGAGAGCGGCCCCTAGGGGGACTTTCTGCTGCCGGTCTCGTTTTCTCTGGACCGTTGACGTGGCGGATTTGTCGTCTCCAGGCGCGTTATGCCACATGGGGGCCTTGTCCAGCTCTTCACACTGGTGTTCAATGGGAATCTGATGATAAACGTCCATTATGACCAGGAGGTCTGTGTTTCCATGTTTGAGAGCAATCAGATTGTGCATGGTCCTTAAATAGGGGAAAATAGCTCCCCTCTCCCCATTTAATCATCCCCCCCGTCTAGGTTTTGTGCCTCACCGTAGTCTCTGTTCTCCCTGGCTGGAGCTGGATCCATCGTTTTAATGGAAAAGCTGATGGAATTGAAAACATGGAGGCTTTTCTTTGGTGAATGTTCAAACGGATCCTGCTGGCATTTTTTCCCTTCTTCTCTCCTCTTTCCATCCTTTCCTTTTGCACTGTTGCCCCGTCTTCTCCCAAAAATGAGTTATGTATTTTACAGAATAGTGTACACTTTGGGACTGGAGTAGCGGTGAGGAAGGGGTCATTTGTTGTTTGGCGCCCCCTGCTGTTTGGGCTATGGGAATGCATGGTCTCATGGTTATTTATATAGGGGCCTCTTCAGTGAGAGTAGTACTTGCTCTCTTGTTGGTTGATGAGTATTTATCTTCAGGAGGGATGGCAGCATCCTGTCCTTAGAGACGAGCTGATTGATCCCAGAGTGCGGCATCGATCGCATGGCTTGTGGAGCCGTTAAAAAGGAACAGTCTGTAACCAGATACATTTTTGAATGTTTTGATTGCCAGTTAAAATTGGCCCAAACTGAACTATCTATGGCCCTGCATCCTTGGCATTAAGAACCCATTTTTGCATGAGGCTGTGGTGACTTGGAACACGTCTAATTGGATCACTTGGGCTTTCTTCGGCTGTCTGTGATTCACTTGGTATTTGGTTTGGCCTGTGTTTGTGGGGTCGTGTGCTGGGAAGGTCTAATGGACCATAAACGATGACCTGTAGTGTTGATTTGATGCAACTTTTAGAATTTTGCACAATTTAACTGGTTTCTGTTGAGGACTTGGGTTCAGCTGAGAAGTGTTTATGGTCCAGTGTTACCACGTAGAGGTATTTGCGCGTTACCACTGGATGTCTTTGACCACATGCTGTACTTGAGTCAAGTCGGCCATTTTCACTTTCTGGAGATACTTCTGATGTAAACAGCCCTGTTTTTTGGGCTGTAGAGTTTGTGTTGTCACATTTACACTTGTGATTTTTTTGTTGTCCTATATTAAAATTCTGTGGGAATATTTAATGTGTCTGTGGTCCATGAACTCCTGACTACGTAATTGCAACGGAAAGTTACGGAAGATTGGAGACTCTCCACCTACCTGGGGAACGGCACCCAGGGGCTTTCTGTTTGCTACTGGGAGGTGTGAAAATGGCATGCCTTCTTGGCGATTTTGGGCGGTGCTATTCCAGTATCTCAGTTAATGATGAAGTGAGGAGAATCTGCTCGTTTTCTAACCTGCATTGTGTCTATTTAGGTGTCTGTACTTTTTTAGCCTGAAGCCTTTGTGAGGGTACTCCTGTGTGTCCTAAGCTAACCACACCCACGAATTCCATGACCACACCCATAATTTATATGGACACACCCTCAATTTCCATGACCACATCCACCATTTCAATGACCACACCTGCCATTTGCATGGCCATGCCCAGTATTCCATTACCCATTTTGCCGGGGTAGTTTGACCTTCTCATGAAGGTCATATTCCTCCCTTTTCCTCCTCCCTCTCTCTTCATCGCCCCTATGACGTGGAAGAAGTACACCCCCCCATCCGCCCACTAAAGGTGTTTACAGTTTTGAACAGTCCTGCCAAATACATTCTAAAACAGCTGTTGATGGAGATAAGCGTGTTTGACTGAAGCCTCGTCCTTATGGCTCTGTTTGTGTTCTGCTGATGACTGTGGTGTTTATAATGTCTTTTGGTATCTCTCCACTTTTTTTTGGTGCCATCTTTTCCCAAGGCTATTTGGTCTCGCCTTGAACAGTGTGTGTGTGTGTGTGTGTGTGTGATTGTGTGTGTGTGTGTGGGGCAGGGGGGTCGACCTTGTGAGAGATTCTTCCAGACGCCTGAAGTTTGACTGCACGGCGTCTACGGCCAATCAGAAGAGGCTCCTTTTGTATTCCGCCCAACTGCCACGACATCAGGATGGGAGATGCGACTCGCCTTGGGCGATCCATCCTCCCATGGCCAAATCCGCTGCCTCTGAAGACTGGGAACTATAAAACTCAAAAGGCTCCTTCAAATGTCCCTTCACCGCAACGTGTCTGATGGAGCTCCATCCTTGGTCATCCTTCCCTTCTGTAGCGCTGACTTCCCTGTGAAGGTGTCGTCCATGTCGGGGGGGAGGGGAGGAGTCGACACTAGGGGACGTTTTGGTGTTCTTCTTCCTTGTCCTTAAGTCGATGTTTTTATTTACTCCTTTGCAATGTTTTGAATAAAGGGAAAAGTGACTTGTCAATGTCCGTCTTCAGTTTCTGTGTCTGTATGTTATGGTAAATCAGGTGACCATGCATCACTACAGAAAAACATCTTCCCTCTAAGGTTCTCCAATGTCCTTCGGATGCTCTCAGATACTCTCTGAACCTCCCCAGGAGTCTCTTCTGGTAAAATAATTAATTAGAGCATTGCTGTTTGTAATTATATTCTTAGTCTTTTGAGTGATGTCTGGTCCCACAGCTGGGATGCAGAGGTCAGATCAAGGAGACCCAAATTATGGATCTCATTCTCCCAGAAGCAGTGGCCATCAACAGTGTGATACTTCTGGTGCATTACTGGGTGGAATGTTTAACCACTTGCTTAAATGAATGTACGGGGATGTTTTCATGAGCAGTGGGATCCGGTGAGGTGCAAAAAGTACACGGGTAGTAAGTCACCTAGATGCAGCAATGTAGCCAAAGGCAAAATAAGCGAAATGTGGGGGGGGGGCATAATTGAAAGTGCCCTACTTTTGAGGTTCTGAATAGTGTACACTTTGTATACAAAATTTATACCCCCCCCCCCCACAGTTAAGCACCTACCCCTGGAAAAGTGATTAGAGATTAAATGATGCCAGTGTGATGCATGGGACCAGTGAGACTGGTGAGCAGCAGGGGGCGACCTCAGTCACTCAAGCAGGGCTTCAGAAGAGCCACATTCTGTACGACATGTTTTTGATGAAATTAGACAGCCTAGGGTGGTCCTGCCTGTTAAGCTATAAAGGTCATTCTGTGCTACTCTCCAACGGGTCTTTTATCTTCATTTTTGGGCCTGTGGTTGGAATCGACCCTCACCATAGAAAGAAACCGTGGTTCCATTCTCATTGTCTGATTCGTACAAATTGCCCGCTAGCTGACATCACTTCCTGTGTGCCCGGCTGGTTGTCGCGATGAGCTTCCTGCCCTCGCCCTCGGAACCCCACCCACTGGTGCAGGACTTCCTGTCCACGGCTGCTGGCCGGCTCTCTCCTGGGAACCTCTGTCCGTGGCAGATGGGACGGACAGCAAATTAGCTGAATTTCTAAAGGTTACGATGTGTCTCCTGGGATGGCTAGCAGGCCGCTTTCCAAGGCTGTATCCTTGTCAGTTTAAAGAACATATTGCCCCGAAAATAACAGGAAGCAACTGTTTCTATATTTTGGCTATGATGCTGTTTGTGCTAACAAAGCAAACTGATGTCTTAACTGAGTTTGCCCCCCGCCATTTTAAGGTCTGAAAGAAACAAGCGGCAGTGCCACGTTAAATATGTGTGTTTGCAAGACAGAGACGATGACTGATGGCTCTTATCACACAGAGCAAGTATATACAGCGGTAGTTTGTCTGTGGCTGTCAGATACCCTCCCCCACCATGCTGCTGCAAGCCACTCATGGGGGGGGGGGGCACTGCAAAATATGTCAGTGTGCCCCGCAGATAAGGGGGCTGAGTGGGTGAAGGACAGAGCCAGCGGTGTGTGTGTGTGTGTGTGTGTGTGTGTGTGTGCTGGTTAGAGGTGGGTCAGGGGGCGGGTACATGGTGTCTGACCTGTCGTGATGATTACTTACCTGGAGAGATTTCAGTAACGCTTTACATTAACTGCACATTCATAATGCTTTTATATTGCATTCATAAAACATTCATAAACAGCATGTATGTATACCTTAACATTCCTAACATCCCTTAACAGCTGTAATATACATTGATAACAAACATATAATAGTAACAAACATTATAATTGTATAATCATGTAATGTTTGTTAATAATGTATATTAAAGCTGTTAAGAGATGTTATGGTGTACTTGTATGCTGCTTATGAATGTTCTATGAATGCATTATGAAGGTGCACTGAATGTTCTATGAATGTATAATGAATGCATTATGAAGCCACACTTAATGTAAAATGTTACCGAGATCATCTCTCTCTCTCTCTCTCTCTCTTTCTGTGTGTTTGTTGATATGGGTATGTACAGTTTAGTGACCGGGGTCTTTGATTTTTACCTACAGTTTAGTGACCGGGGTCTTTGATTTTTACCTATAGTTTAGTGACCGGGGTCTTTGATTTTTACCCACAGTTTAGTGACTGGGGTCTTTGATTTTTACCTACAGTTGAGTGACTGGGGTCTTTGATTTTT